ATGAAATTGAACCCAGGTCAAATCCATCAACAATGTAACTGCGACTTTGAAAAGTCAGAAAATCTTATTAAACAGAAAATATGAGAGAAAAAAATTTTGGGAGCATCTGACATTACCCTAAACTACTGCACTTTCGTTCAATAAAACAGACCTTAAATTTGAACACCATTTGACCCAAAATAGGATATTTAAAGTAAAGTATAATGCTTTGTGTGCTGGAAACTAAAGTCATATATTCTATGAACTTATTATTAATCGGCCGATTATCTAATATTCGAATCCATCAAAACTAAGTTATTTTTAATGGTTTCTTTTATATTATTCTATAAATTATTAAATATAATCAGTTTGAAATTCTTTATTTTTTTGCTTTAAAAAAGCCTTTTTTATCTGGTGCATTCGTCATACGCAGAAAACATATCACAAGTTTCAGAACCTGCGATCAGTGGGTGAATCTGTCTTTATAGAGCTGCATCTTAACATATGTATAAACTAGAGCTCGACACTTCTTTGCTGCTCAACTCTTCAAGTTATTTGTTTGAAACTTTTAAATTTTTTATTTTGTTCGAAATGGTCGAAAAAGCTCGAGCACTCGTCAAAAATATTTGACTAATGAGCAATGAACGAGTGAGAGAACTGCTCGAGTCACTCGAAAATATTCGAATGAAGTCTTGAGCTCTAGTATATACATATGTGTATATAAACATATTTGGTTTTCCTTATCTTTCCTATCTTTACTAATCTATTAAACCTATTTATTTGAATCACACACAGAGGCATAAAATAATGTTGCACATGTGTATATGATTATAATAAATAGTGATGTTAAGTGAACCCATTTAATGCGTGCTAAGCATAACAAAACCCGTTCATAATTCCACTTTAACAACAGCAACAATAGCAATGAGATCAAAACAAAAATTAGCAATAAAAGCAATAAAGGAGAAAGTAAATACCCTCTTTACAATGTAATAACAATAAGGAAAAAAGTGGTAGTAGTGGGTGAGATCGCAGAAAGAGGCTGTATGAGCACGCGCATACATATCTATATCCATGTATGTATGCATACTTCGCCCATACTGTAAATGTATGTAAAAACTACATATTTTCACATGGCTGAATAAAATATTAAAAGATGCAGAAAAAAAGTAGTGAAGAAGGTTAAGTAAAATTGGCGGTGTGACTAATCAACCGCACAAACGGGTATTGGATAAGTGAAACATTGCAACAACTACTAAATTAGTATGTTATTTGGAAGCTTAAATAATATGGTATCAAAAACTTAAATAATTTCGAGTGAAAAAAATGAAGATTTATAGATTTGAAGTAACTTTGGAATACAATTTTAAACCTGTTATTTATTTTATTTATCATATAAACTTTTCTACATATTATATGTTTATAAAAATTCGGCAAGGTTACCACGAAATAATTGCATGGATTTTTTTTGTTTGAGGTGAAGTTAGATCGGTTAGTCACCTGTAACTTCCATTCTCACAAGATACACTGTCACGCATGACTGTTTAGTTTGTTGTGAGCCACTATTTTTACTTTGTTTTGAAGAAGATATTTTATGAATTGGAGTCAAGTTGTTTTCAGATTAGTTAAGTATCAGCCAAATTTTTTCGGTGAGTGGTTAATTGTAAAAATTTACATAAGGAATTTTTTATATACATACATATATGTTTTTTTTTTTTTAATTTTCATAATTATTATAAATTACTATCTATTTTGTGATACAGTGCTGTATTTGAGTATGTTTTGTTTTAGCTAGAAAATTCGGCATTTTTGAAAATGGTTCAATTAACAACCGCACCGGCTACGGAGCACGATTTTCTCCTACCACCTCCTATTTCGCGGCTATAAGTAATAGTGTAGCGCAAGACCCGAATGTTTTTATTTAAATTTTGTTCCTTGTTTTACACCTACACTTATATAAAGTCCAGTTTACACAACATCTGAACCCAGCAGGTCAATTAAAACGTCGCGCAATGTGCTTGAACCATATGCAATGGATGCCGATATATTATTTATTTCTAACTCGATGATACGCTAATTAAATGGGGTTCTGAGAGCCCTAAAATTATTGAGGAGAGGCCATTAGAATCAAAAAACTTAGAGAGGTAGGATTCGACCTTATTTTTGGTTAAAAAAAGACAATGGCGGGACTGTCACTGTCAATTCCAAGCGTTATGGTGATCTGATAACCGGCTTTTTTTGGCATGCAATTGGAGAACACGAAAACATGGTATATATGCCGCACAACTCGTGCGAAAATTGCTTTATTGCGATAAAAATTTATTGGACGAGTAAAAAACAATTATTTGAATTTCATTTTTATGCGTTTATTTTTAAACCCGAGACTTAGATAAGGATGTATAACAATAGCTTCGTAGGTAAGAAAAGGAAACAGAAATTTCCTGAAAAAAATTATTTTAAATGCGTTTATTTTCAAAATAAGAAAATGTATAATCCTGTACTACTAATAACACCCGTTTTTGAAATACCCAGCTTCATAGTATTAAACACGAGCGATTTTCCACCTTGCCCTTCTTTCAATTTGAATTATGTGTCTTGATATTTTTCTCAAAAGACTTACTCTATGAAAAAACTGATAAAGAGATATTTAAATATATGCCTTATAAAAGAATTAGAAGTTTATGTTACTACTTCACATTTTTCTATACTACTTTAAGGAAAAACCCGAGGCCACATAATTAAAATTTGTTTTCACTTTGTTTTAACTATTTTTAAAGCAGCTTTTGAGATGTGAATTAACTTTCCTTAAGGTTGTTTACAAATAAATTTCTACCTAATATAACATTATTCCAATCAGAACCGAATACATCTTACAAATTTGTTGGTAATAAAGTTGATAAATCGGTAGATATTAGAGGAGCCATATCCCTACCATGGCATATTAGCTGATTCAACCAACTTAATGAGTAAGACTATTAGGTATTTAACCTTTTTTCCGTTGCCAAAACCATAGCCATTGTAAACATTGAATTTTGGTTTATCTCGTTTTATTTTTTTTTTTTTGTTTTTTTTTTTTGCAGCGACTATTTCTGGATAATTTATCTTGCAATTTTATTATTCTTTTGTGTTTTTTTTAAATAAATCTTATTTTGAAACTAAAATCATCGCAAAAATTCCTGTTGCTATGACGCCAATAATCGAAAACATGGTGTTTAATCGAATACATGAAACTTAATCTACTTCTTAACTGAACTTTTTCTTGCTAAAACTCAATATACTTGTATTCAACTTAAAGCTTTCATCATATTTCTTATTATTATTGTATATAAATTTAATATACAATAGTATTGATAAACATATCTTCCATGCAAGACCATCAAATTATCGAGAATATTCCGAAGAGAAATTTTAATTTTTCTGAAATCTTTAAAACTTTCGTACCTCTTGAATTTTTTCTAAAATGAAAAAGGTCCTTATACATTCTTTCATATTTCGATGATAGCAAAAATCTTCCTCCCCAACCAATCTCTCAATTCAAAGCAAGCCCATACAAAAATATGGTCAATAACAAACAAACAACAGTCATTTAAATTTATGTGTGAATATGTATGTATTCTACTATATACTAGCAAACAATAGTGTAGAGACCTCCATCAATGCCACATTGCCGAAAAAGGCCGAAAGTTAGCCGGGAAGAAGGAAAATTTTGTTGACCGTGCACATTCGCGACACATAAATTGTACGAGAAAACTGGGAGTAAAGAATGAGCCATTCAATCGTATGAGGAAGGGGTGCTCATATGTGTATATGTTTGTATGTACGCATTCTCACTTACATATGTGGTGTGCAGTGAAGTAAACGCCGTGAGCAATTTTGTAGTTTTACTGTTCTTTAAGAATTTTTTTGCTTGTGTGAGTCCACATAGCAGGCATTTGAGGCAACAAGACGAAGGTCTAAACACCAACAAAATTCCCTCAACCTAACGAGCTGTGGTTAAAGCGCTTTTGGGAGGCTGAAAACTGACTACCAAAACTATCCAAACGTAGCAAAACAAATGCCAATGCCAAAACGAAGCTTGTGGAGTTACTAAGAAAATATTTATACTTATGTGTATACATATGTATGCTCATATGTACTTATGAATATGTATGCTACAGCTGTCACAAATTCCATATTGGTGTTTCAAGATAAAATAGACCGTTAGCAGTGTTTCGTTGGTGTACAAATCTTAGACATACAATTTTCTGTAAATCCGTCACTTTATCACATTTGCGAACAAGATTAAACTTATTGACGGTGGGAGTTTATGTATGTATCACAAAGCAATATTTAATTATTTTCTTTCGATTGGATAAGAAAATATTAAAAGCATATTTATTAAATTTTATAGAATTTTCTGGTAAAGATTAAATTTTCATTTTATAGTGTGGTTTTGATAAATTTTTATAATTTTAATACATATGAATATAAAAAAATATTATTTAATTTATTTACCCGCTTTACTTCTTAAAGTTTCAACATTATGGGTCGTCAAAAAACTACTGATGATGATAAAATGACCGTTAATCGAAAACACAATTATCTTATCGTATTACCATAACCGACTATTAGTTGACTTAGCATAATCACATTGATTTGCTTATTTGGTTTTATGGGAGAATTTTTGATTTTGAATAGACCGGATTGCGATTGGATTTTCAAAAAGTTTACTTCATGTAATAAACTGGGCTTTTCATCACTTTGGAAGATTATGCGCCTACAAAATTACCACATTTCCCTCTTGTTTAGTGCAAATGTCGTATGTGACAGAGAAACTTAGTGGTATGCACCAAATTTGAAGTACTATGACCTTGTGTGTTCTTTAACAATCCAATTATTAGACAATATTTCAAGATGATAAATATCAGATGCAATCGATAATGATAGGCTGGACCGTGCTACCAGCATAAACCAGTTTTTCCGTTTTCTCTTTACATTCTACATCCGTGTAAAATGGTACCCAAAGATGTTGACTGTCTTACCTTGCATATTCTAAAACATTTAGATTGCCACTGTTCTGGCTGCCTTCAATAATATTGAGTTTGAAGCTTCATAAAAATCCGAGAGGCTCAACAAATGCAATTTCATTCCGTTTCGCTTGCAGGAAAATTAACTTAATGATAGAAAATCGTTTACATTAATTAAAATAGCTACTTACTATGATTTGACGGCATACTTCAATTTTAAGGTTTAACATTATCTGTTAACATTTAACATTATTTGTTAACGTTTACATTATCGTTTCGTGTTAAAAAGATTACTGCTTTAACACTAATGCAACGAAATGATTTAACCGAAACGATGCACATTTTTTGATTAACGTGAAATTTATCTTTATGATATAATATAATATAATAATTTATGAAAGAATATTTGTTAAAAACTGTTGTCGTATTTTTTGGTTTTTTACTGTGACCCCAAAATATATAGTTTGAGACAGTTTCATAAAACTAAAAAGGCAAAATTCATAATTTTACCTGATATTTAGATATTCTATAAATTTTTTTTTCGAAGAAATATAACAACAGACATTTTGTTGAAAAATTAAGGGAAAATTTGTCAAAAATTTTAGATTGATAAATTATTGTACATCGTCTCATTTAGCTTGAAGTGAATTTACAGTTTGTTGTATCTCTCAAAAGTATTAGTTCTTAAAATTATATAAGAATTACTCACAGCTTTCTCAAAAGGTAATCCTGTCTTCTTCTTATTCACATGTAGTAAGTAAGTATTTTAGTAGACCAAAAAGTAAGCAGATAACGTAGATAAAAATTAAATCACACAAAACGAGCAAAGCAATGCTTAGAGTTGAACTATCAGCAATGAAAGAGGAAAAGCGATTGTCTACAATATACCGTTACGCCTTGTTTTTCGCAACAGCCACTCCAAAAGAGAGAGAGAGAGTGGACAACAGCCAATAGAGGAAAACAATAATTTAGCCAAAGCAAACAGGAAATCCCAAGCCATTGATAACAGGAGAAATACTTAGAGGCAAACCTAGCGGACGCACAATCACAAGCACAAAGTTTATACAAATGTATATGAGTATATGTACATATATACATACATACATGTGGGTACTGTTTCTACAAACAATGTTTTGCTTGAATAAATTCCACAAAGAGTTTACTGATTGTAGTTGTGATGAAGTATATCAAGTGTGGACACGACAGAATATACAAGAACGGCTTCTGTAGCATCAACTAATAAACTAAGCATGCAAATAAATACATTACATACACATGTAACATCCTCGTACATATAAACATGTGGTATATAGAGAAACGGCAGAGGCGAAAACAAATGGCATGCCATAACGAGAAATGGTCAGTCAAACAGAAATTCTACAAGCTTGTTGTGTTTGCAGACATATGCATATATACATACTCACATAGTTTATTTGCTTTTCCGATAAATAAAATAAAATAAAATCAGACATATGCATATATACATACTCACATAGTTTATTTGCTTTTCCGATATAAATAGCTGGTGATTTTCTTAAGTGCTGAGACAAATGTGGTTGATTTTGATTCCATGGCGCTGTTAAACAATTTTGGAAGTGGTATGGCTGTGGGTCGTGGTTAAATTCATATACACACATAAGAGTATTTATTTGTGGGAATGTGCGGGTGGCCAGAAAATATTAATTTATTTGTAGCATCTGCTGTGTTCATTTGGATGGCAGTAATTTGATAAGCGCATTGAACGTGTGACTTTCTTCTGATGGGTACGTCGCCTGTTTACTTGATGCAAATTGGAATTGCTTTAAGATTTTACATCTCAAAACTAATGAACGTTAAAGTAAACCCAAGAAAAGCAAACCTGGCATGCGATGTAGTGAAAACTGTAGAGAGAACAAGGAACACACTACATCAACATATATATATAGTGTGTTTAAACAAAACAGATGTAGATTACTGAAATAAAATAAAGTAAAATAACAACCAACTAAAATTAAATAACATAGACTGAAAAGAGATATGAAAAGAAAAATAAGATTAAATAAAATACTTTTAAATAAGTGAAAATAAAACAAATTAAAACAAAATAAAATGAATTAAATAATATAAACTAAAGTAAAATAAAACAAAATTAAATAAAATAAAAAAGAACAAAAAAATAAAATAACTTAAAATAAAATAAAATAAATAAAAGTGAATAAGAAAGGAAAAATTTAAAAAAAAATCAAACAAAGTAAAATAAAATAAAACAAAATTAAATTTAATAAAAAAAAATAAAAAAAATTAAAATAAAATAAAACTAAACAACTTTAAATTAAATTAAATGAAATAAAGTGCAATGAAATAAAATAAAATAAACTAGAATAAAATAAAATAAAATAAAATAAAATAAAATAAAATAAAATAAAATAAAATAAAATAAAATAAAATAAAAAAACTAAAATAAAAGAAATAAAATAAAATAAATTAGAACAAAATGAAGATGAAGATGAATAAAATAAAATAAATAAGATAATATAAAATATAATAAAATCAAACAAATTAAAATAAAATGAGCTAGTTAAAATAAAATTAAATTGAATCAAATTAAAAAAGATGATCTAAATTGAAATAATATGCTAATATTAATAATAATAAAATAAAACTATTAAGTTAAATACAGATATTTTACCAATAAGCATATATATTTCCTATAATAAAGATTTTGTTTTGGATAGTAATTAAAAATAAAATTATCCCTATTTTTGCTAATATTTTATTAATGTCTAAATAGTAGGGAACCACAATACAGTATTTCGAGTATTTAACAGTGTAATTTGGCCTAATTTAAAACTCCGCTGTGGGGTGCTTTAGTTTAGTTTTCGCCAATACTGTATGTACATATATGTAGGTTTCATGTTTTTCATTACTGCTGATCGATATAATATATTTATTTTTGAACAAAAAATTTTAATATCTCCTTTTTCGTCTGCGGAAGGCGCCGAAACGTGGCGAATAAAGCCGCGAGATATAGGGCAAAAAATTATCGTGCCAATGAATAAAAAATCCAAATCACCTTGTATAATGGAGACCAACACGTACATACCGAACAAAAAGACGTATTTACATCACTTTGGCAAACATGTATTACAGTTCCGCCTGCTTTCGTATACCCTCCTGCCATTTTGATGCATACAGCTGGAAAATAATTTCGTCTGCAATGCGGCGTAGCGCACATTTATTGGTGTGTGCTCATGTTTAGTGAGTTGAAAGGCGGCCAAAAGCATCCCATTGCGCACAGCGCGTTGCTGCGATATACAAACATACAAAATGGCGGCGATTATTTGTGTAAGCGCGTTTCAACAGCATTCTTTTTTAGTGCGAGCCGCCACTTGCTACTAACCCTTCTGCATTTGCCTGAGCTATTTTATGAGTACTAGGTTTTTCAAATTTTTTCTTTCACTTACCGCGCGCCGCAGTGCTAAGTGCTTTGGCAGGAGAATAAAGTTAAAGGTTGCAATGCGGTATTGCCGAGATCCATCAATTTTCAGCACAAACCCAGCATGTGGTGCTTTTAGAGTTATTTGACGAGTTATGAAGGGTAAGGGTGAGTTTGGTGTTAACAGTGGCAAAGCAGTTAACGACAAACAACCAACCAGCTAGCCAGCGAAGTGAAAATTGTCAATTTTAACGCCTGCCTGCTCTTCCCCTTGCTCCTCTTTCACTCTTTTCAGGCAATTTCTAGTTAATGGCTGCACACTTTTCATACCCATCTTGTTTTAACTTGCTAGCTGGAAAGCAAATTGATGTGTACTCAAGTCAAGTTGTCGGCTGAAGTTGGTCAAGTTTTCATTTTCATTGTATTTCCTTTAGCTTTTTGGCTTATATTCGTTGAATAAAGTGTGTGATACGATATGGTGAGGTGAGCATTTCAACCGAAAGAAAAAAATCACAATTTTTGGCTCTAGCCGAATGAAGTTTCGTAGTTTGAGTTGAAGCGGGTCACTTTTAATTAAAGTTGAAAGCTTCAAGAAGCTGTAAACCGGTTGCTATCTGCATTTGGCTTTTCAATTTATAGGAGAATGTTGGATCATGGTGTGTGTCACTGTTGATACCTTGAAAGTGACTGAGTAATTTTTGACTGAGTGGTTTTACCGTTCACTGATTAAATCTGTGAACGGTTGAGTGACTGAATTGGAAAAGTCACAAGAAAGTGATAAGAAAAAAGTCTCTGAAGTAGAGATGCACAGCTAACGAAACGATGTAATCTCATTTCCTTAATATGAAGATGCACAGCTAACGAAACGATGTAATCTCATTTCCTTAATATGAAAAATAAACTTACCGAGTTGGTATTGTCTCGTTGTTATTATTGTAGCGGCAACGTTAACCCCGCTTAAAGAAAGGTTTAAAATCCCTTCACTGAGACATCAGTAGGTACTAAAGACAGTGTTCTGACAAGCCTGTTACTTCTTCATCTGCGTCTTATTCGTCCCCGGTGCCCAGATCGGTACAGCATATTTAACGACCGACTGACCAATCACTTTATAGGTTGCTAGCAAGGTTTCTTTATGTTCACCACAGGTGCTGCGGTCTGGCGCTTTGAGTATTTTGTCGCGAATCTGGAATTTTGCAGCAATTGCGGTCTTATGCAGAGTGAAGAAATACAGACTGTCTAGTGTGACTCCAAAAATCTTGTGGTTATTAATGGTCGAAACTTTCAATGTCCGATAGTAGCACTGAATGATTGACGCGTGTCAAAAGCTGATGACAGATCCGATGAAAGCATGACAGCACGCATTTGACTATCCGAGTATTTATGATGTTTAGTGCCGTTGTGGTACTGAGCATTTTACGGAAGCACATCCATTTTCCACACATCGGGAACAACTAGGGTGGTCAAAGACAAATTGAGGACCTGGGTGAGGAAGTCTGTTCTCGCTGGCTCCAGATATTTTAGCATCAGCATGCTTATTCCGTTGGGGCCGATGGACTTGTAGGCTTTCATCTACCTGATGACCTACTGGATCTCTTCCCTGGAGAAAATTCACTGGTGTTTGGCAGTTTGCGCGGGCCGTTGGTTACTTGTCACTTCGTTTACCGAAGGATGCATTATAAGAAGTCGACTAAAGTAGCTCGCGCATCGTCGGGTAAGACAACAATTTAAGTGCTCCTCCCAGTTTTTCCGCTTATGGTTGTTAACAACACCAATTTTTGCAATTTGGGCTCCTGCGGAATAAACGTTCACCAGAGGTGACATCTGATGGAGTGGGGAGAGCACCGAAAACTTTCCGTGAAGCAAGACCAGTTAGATTTTTTAAAGTTAACAATTGTCAGGGTGTGCGGAGCTATGTTAACGGCACAAAAAAAAATTGTACACGTTGCAACCGCACAAACAACAAATTTCAATGTTAACGACTTAACATTAACGACAGCATTTCGTTTCAAATAAGTAGGATATAAAATTTATTTTGATAACTGCTTTAGCAATAACAATTGCAAGTGTTTCTACTGAATGAAATGATGCAGCCTTGCTCTGAAGGTTTCTAAAGTTTACATAAAAGCTGAGTATA